CTTCCAGTGAGCACTCAGGGTTGATTTCCTCCAGAATGGATATGATTATTCTCTTTCCAGTCCAGGGGACTCTCAAGAGTCTCCTCCTGCACCACAATTCAAAAGTGTCAATTCTTTGGTGGTCAGCCTTCTTTATGGTCCAGCTCTCACTTCCATACGCATATCACTACTGGAAAAACCACAGCTTTGACTATGCGGAACTTTGTCGGCAAGGTGATGTCTCTGCTTTTTAAGATGCTGTCTAGGTTTGTCATCGCTTTCCTCCCAAGAAGCAGGCGTCTTTTAATTTCAGGGCTGCTGTACCCATCTGCAGTGATCATGGAGCCCAAGAAAGTAAAATTTGTCACTGCCCCCATCTCTTCTCCTTCTATTTGCCAGGAGGTGATGGGACCAGTGGCTATGATCTTAGTTTTTTTGATGTTGAGCTTCAAACCATTTTTTTGCGCTCTCCTCTTTCACCCTCATTAAGAGGTTCTTTAATTCCTCCTTACTTTCTGCCATCAGAGTGGTATCATCTACATATATGAGGTTCTTGGGAATCTTAATTCCGGTTTGGGATTCATCCAGTCCTGCCTTTTGCATGAAGCATTCTGCATATAAGTTAAATAAGCAGGAAGACAATATACAGCCTTCTCGTACTCCTTTCCCAATTTTGAACCAATCAGTTGTTCCATATCCAGCTCTGTGTGTTGTTTCCTGTCCCACATATAGATTTCTCAGGAGATATATAAGGTGGTCAGGCACTCCGATTTCTTTAATAATTTGCTATAATTTGTTGTGGTCCACACAGTCAAAGGTTTTTGTGTAATCAATGGAGCAGAAGTAGATGTTTTTCTGGAACTCTCTAGCTTTCTCCATAATCCAGCGCATGTTAGCAATTTAGTCTCTAGTTCCTCTGCCCCTTCAAAATCCATCTTGTACTTCTGGAAGTTCTCGGTCCACATACTGCTGAAGCCTACCTTGTAGGATTTGGAGCATAATCTTGCTAGCATGTGAAATGAGTGCAACTGTACGGCAGTTGGAGCATTCTTTGGCACTGCCCTTCTTTAGGATTGGGATGTAGACTGATCTTTTATTTTATTTATTTTTTTATTTAAATTTTATGCCACCCATGCTACTGAAAGGTCTCCGAGCAGCTTACAACAATTAAAATACAAGGTCAGCAACCACACTATCTTGGTTGAAAAATACAGCCTGCAAATGGTCAACGAACTCTACTGAGCCACAAGGACCAGTGATCACTGCACACAAAGACTAGCTAAAGATATCCATCAATCACAGTGACAGATCATCTCCCACCCATTATCACAACAATACACCCATTACAAAAAACACCCTGATCACCCTAATCACCCAATCTCCTGAAAAGGACAAAAAGCTGATCCCACAGCTACAAATACTCGACTATCCCACACACTACACCAAAATACAGACATTCTAACTCCTGTCCTCGCCTATGAAGTTGCCATCCACAGAGACTGACGAAATGTTAGGAGGAAAAACCTTCAGAACACAGCCAAACAGCCCAAAAAACCTACAACAACGATCGGATCCCGTCCGTGAAAGCCTTCAAGAACACATGTATATGTTTTGGTTTTTGGTTTTATTCTGAAATGGAGAGCCTCAACTATACATGGTCCCAACAATACTGTACTACCACTCTACAGATTTACATAAAGAGCATTAAGAGACTGACAGTTTTCTTTCAAGTGTCCTCCTAAATTATCTCTAGTGTGGAATTTGTTTTTTCCCACTGCTAAGCTTATACGTACTGAATTGCTAGTTTTACTATATAATTCACCATGTCCCTGAACAACATTTTGTGGACATTCAAAGGTAACTCTGACATTTATAAAGCTATGACTTTTTAGTGTATAATCTAGCAACAGAAAACTGGCTTCTACAGCAAATGGGAATCTTCAGCTACAGGAAAAGGTTAAGATCATGTTGTAAGGTGATTCTTCCATCCCTAATTCAGTGTCACCAACAGGGTTGAAAACATAGGGATTAAATTCAGCACTTTAAAGAATGAAACACTCAAACCTTATACATAGGAAATCTGTCAATTTCTTCTACATTCAGGTTTTTTAAAATTCAGGTCTGTTCTGTGAAATTTGTGAAGCAAATATGAAATTTGTGAAGCAAATAGGGACGTGGTGGTGCAAGGGACGTGGTGGCACTGCGGGCTAAACCGCAGAAGCCTGTGCTGCAGGGTCAGAAGACCAAGCAGTCGTAAGATCGAATCCACATGATGGAGTGAGCTCCCATCACTTGTCCCAGCTCCCGCCAACCTAGATAAATAGGGACCACCTTGGTGGGAAGGTAACAGCGTTCCGTGTCTAAGTCGCACTGGCCATGTGACCACGGAAGATTGTCTTTGTAAGAATGAAACACTCAAACCTTACTGTATACATAGGAAATCTGACAATTTCTTATACATTCAGTTTTTTTTAAAATTCAGGTCTGTTCTATGAAATTTGTGAAGCAATTTATACATTTGGAATAGCTATGTAAAAAAAGGAAATAAACAATATTTTTATCCATCCCTAATTCACAGACATAACTAGCAACCTAGAGACAGAATATCTGAAACTTTCTTTTTGCTAAGCATATTTTCTACCACTGAGCTATGGCCTTTCCTTTTAGTGTTGCATTAGTTCACTGAGATACTGGCTGCCTCTCACAGTAGTGAAGAAAACTGGCAGGAAAAGCAAAATTCTGAACAGCCAACAAGAGAATCTAAGTTTTAATGTGGACAGAAGAATGGGGTACTTGAGCTAGTGGACTTTGAGACACAGAGGAATCCACACAGCCAAACTACCAATCCCTAGATATTATTAATCCCAATTAGACCAGACTCATTAAATCAGCAGGATTTAGATAAGTGTTGACTTAGGTAAAGGTAAAGGTAAAGGTTCCCCTTGACAATTTTTGTCCAGTCGTGTTTGACTCTAGGGGGTGGTGCTCATCCCTATAGTTCACTGAGATACTGGCTGCCTATCACAGTAGTGAAGAATACTGGCAGCAAAAGCAAATTTCTGAACAGCCAACCACAGAATCTAAGTGGGCATAAAAATGGGGTACTTGAGCTAGTGGACTTTGAGACACAGAGAAATCCACACAGCCAAACCACTAATGCCTACATATTATTAATCCCAATTACACCAGGCTCATTAAATCAGCAGGATTTACATAAGTGTTGACTTACCATTCAGCAACTGATTCAAGCTGGGACTAGTGCCTAAATTTAGACCCTAAAACCTTAGCTTCACATTCAATCATTACCTGCCTCGTCTTCTGCAAAAGAGATGATATATTGATAGTAGTTATTGATATGTCCAGGAAAGAGGCAAGTTTGACCTCTTCCCATGCATATTTCATTGTACTGCCATTCCCCTGTAGCACGATTCTCTTTCAAGGACATGAGGCGTCTACAAAGCAAAGATTAAATAAAACAAATTAAATCCTATAAATGTCTGTTCCAATCAATCTTGTTTTCTTCCTTCAGAATGTTTTATGTTTTCAATGGAAACTGAGTGTGAATTAAAATGGAATCTCAAGACAAATTAATTTCCAACTGTGAATGATTAACATAAACTGCATTTTGAAGAGGACAAATGTCAAACTACATATAGAGATCAGTCCTTGTTCTACATGATTAACAACATAATGCAATTTTTACTCTTAAATTTTTCTGTTTTACTTCTGATCTCCTAGCCCTCCCTGTTATTTTCAGTTTGATTTTTTATGAGTACAAATCAGCCTGCTTTGCAGTCCTCGGACACATACACAAACCTCACAGATGAAAAACTGCTCATGTCTATTAAACATGTATGTACAACAGGACTTTTAAAATTAACAAAATATAAGATAGAGGACTATCAGTAAAGTTATGGCTAGAATGGTCATCAAGCAAAGTAATAAATATCAATATTTTAGCAAATACTGTAATAACATTTCTGTGCAATCATCTATATAGGGGGAGGATTTCTATGGCATGTCACACATTCTCTGCAACCAATGCTTGAACCCACAAGCAAGTTTAAACATGTTTCTCACCAGATTACTCATAAACATGTCCAAACCCACTTAAAAGTTCAAACAAAGGCTGCAGGAAAAAATGACATGTCATAGAAATCCTTCCCATAAATGATACGTTACCTTAAGATTCTTCTGGATGCAGTAAATATAAATCTGATTCTACATAAACACATTTGCATAACATTTTCATCAAGGGGTCAAATTTTATAATGGTACCATTTTATTATGTAACTATTTACTTCTGAATTACATTCCTACATGTAGACATTTGTATGAAAAACAATAACATAGTGGGAAAGGAGCAGACAGTCTGAAATAGCTGCTTTAAGAGGCACTGGAGCGGGAGTAGGGAGCCTATAGACTGGTATGTGTCCACTAAGACAAGCTGCTTCATTCAAATGAGGAGAAAGATGCAGTGCTATGACTGAAGTAAGACGAGTACTGCTACTACATTGGTCGCTGATTCTGTCACTACTTCTGTGCAAGGAATGGAAAGGCAGTCACCATCTTGTCCTTTGTTGCATGCAGCAAAATGTTTTGGGTCACCCAACCTTGTAAGGCATCAGTGGATGGTTCTCAGCCAGTCAACAACAAGTGGTAGCGTTATCACCAAGTGCAGTGGTACCTCAACTTGAGAACGTCCCTACATAAGAACATTTCGAGTTAAGAACAGCTCCGTTTGTAAAAAGTTGCTTCGACTTGAGAATGGAATCTTGACTTAAAAACAAAACAAAAAAAATTCCTGCCCTGTCTTTTGACCTAAGTTCACCTTAGGTCAAAAGAAGAAGAAAAAATTCACCTCCTAGTGGTAGATACAGATTAACTGGGTTTGCATTACAGTGGTGTCTCGCTTTACAATTGCCCCGCATTACGATGAATCCGCTTTAGGACGATCGGTTGTGATCGCAAAACAATGGTCTAAATAGGGGAATTTCGCTTTGTGATGATCGGTTCCCTGCTTCGGGAACTGATTCCTCGCAAAACAATGTTTTTTAAACAGCTGATTGGCGGTTTCAAAATGGCTACCGGGTAATTAAAATGGCTCCCCGCTGTGTTTAAGGACGGATTCCTCGCTATACAGGAAGCGAAAATGGCCACCGTATGGAGGATCTTCGCTGGACGGTGAATTTTTACCCCAATGTAACACACTGAACGGGTTTCAATGCATTTCGATGGGGTTTTTATATTCGTTTAACAATGTTTTCGCTTAATGGCGATTTTCCTGGAACAGATTATCGTCGTTAGGCGAGGCACCACTGTAGTTCCTATGGGAACTAATGCTTCAACTTAAGAACAGCGGCTCAACTTAAGAAAGAAAAACAGCAGATACGGATTAAATGGTTTTCAATGCATTCCTATGGGAAATGGTGCTTCAACTTAAGAACGTTTCGACTTAAGAACACAGTCCCAATACGGATTAAGTTCTTAAGTCAAGGTACCACTGTTTAGATTGCACTAGCCCTCAGATCTTACACTGGAGATTCTCGCTAGGGTCAATGAGGTTGTCATCTCATGGCAAGTCAACCATTACTCTGTTGAGATTTTGATCTCAAAATATATTAAATATAAATTTTGCATAGTGAAAGTAAAATGGCCAATTTTACCTGAGTCATGTGCTGAGTGTATTTAGGTGTGGGTACCAAGTTTTAGGACTTCGATATTGTACAGCTGTTGTACATGATGTAACTTTATGTAAGTAGAAAATAAAGTACTGTATTTTCTGATTGGTCCCAAGAATGTATATAAGTCATGTGTAAAGGGGACATTTTATCTGCTGTAAGTCAGATCACTTTTTTTTCTATGCTAGGTATTGTACCATGTCATGTCATGCTAGCAGATGAATGTCTATTCTCTCTGTATATATGTTAATAGACTAAGTTGATATTCTACTCTCTTAGTGTTATATGCAACCTGAAATCTCTTAACTCTGCTTATGTCCTGAGAACACATATATTAAACCAAATTCTCAACACACTCACCCACTCATGAAATCGCCGAATATATATAGTCCATTCAGGTTTGGAAACTCACAACCACGATACACATAGCCTCCTGTAACAGATTTTCCCATTTTGTGTGGATAAGCATATATTGGAAGCACATCATCTGTGAAGCAGAAGAAAAGTCACACCTTTAGAAGCAAAATAGCTCAAAAACAAATATAATGTGTTTTAACAGGTCTGTCAGGTAAATCACCGCACTCTGCTTAAACCACCTGCTTGACATCCTATTTTTACTTAGTCTCCATGGAGACTAAACAAACATTCCCTTTCCAACAGAAGCAGGTTTTACACATAAAATGATTATAAGGATAGTATGTTTGAACTGAATTCATTCCTTTTCACAAGAGAGGGCTCACTACATTATGTTGCCTTGCCTTATTTATTTATATTTATTTATTGGACTTATATACCGCCCCATAGCGCTACAAGCACTCTCCAGGCGGTTTACAATTTTAATTATACAGGCTACACATTGCCCCCCCCCCCCAGCAAGCTGGGTACTCATTTTACTGACCTCGGAAGGATGGAAGGCTGAGTCAACCTTGAGCCGGCTACCTGGGATTTGAACCCCAGGTCGTGAGCACAGTTTTAGCTGCAGTACAGCATTTTAACCACTGCGCCACGAGGCTTCTTTTTGTATTTGGTTTTGGATATTTACGCAAAATAAACAAAACAGGATGATAGGATACTATCTTATATTGAATCATGCTGATCATTAGTAGCTTATTAGGATTTCAGAAAGTCTTGTTCAGTGCTACATGGGGACAGAACTTGGGCCCTCTTGCACTTAAAGCATGTCCTCTGCAACTGTGCAAAAATAATGTTTAAGGGTGAACCACTTGCAGTTCTTGAAAATATCTTAAATATTTTTGCACTCCTCCTTGATAAAATGCATAAGCTCTTGATCCAGAACTTCCCGTGAGAGCAGGGTGTTTCTGAAAATAGCAACTCAAAGAAGTAACTATTCCAAACTATGAACTACTTAGACGTGTTGAATCTTTGGGGTCATCTTCAAAGCAAAGTTGTGGAAACTAAGAGCAGAAATCTTGGTTAGGAATTTTCTTTAGGAAATCAATTGGTCCCCGACAACACTCTGTGTGGTATTTCTTTTGCAGCGATGACAGGAGAAGGTTTACAGTGTTAAGATGCAGGCAGCAGAAGAATTAAGTGGAGCTAAATAGAGATTTGTAGGTAAAGACAATGTTAAGACTTGAGCAGTTTTAAGATGGTGTCTCTGTAGTTGTTTTGAGGCTCTACTGCAGCAATTCTTCACAAATACAATTACTGATTCCACTTAAAAAGAAGATGAGAAACTCAACTGCTACTCTTAACTAAAGGAGACATATTGAATCAACGGGATTTATATAAGCATTGACATGCTACTCAGGAACCAATCCAATGGATCTACTTTCACTGGGAATAACTATTAGATTTAGGCCAAGCAGAGTCCATTCCAGATTTCTAAATTTCTCTGAATAAGGCATATTGGTTTCAACAGTTACGCTTAAGAAGAACACCACCATGTTCAACAATACTATTTCTCCATTTAGTACAGAGGGACTGGAGGAAGATTTCAGGAAGAATACAATGTAAAGGAAAATAGTGTCTCAGCTTCTGACTGCTCCTTTGTTTCTAGCACTGTAATGTTCTTTTCCTGTAGCCAAAACCAGAACTGTTCATCAAATGCAGGTGTCCTTTTGAAAAGCTGCATATGCAGACAGACAGACAAGAGGCTGTTCACAATGCCCTGATAAAATGCTGTTCTAGAGCGTTATGGGAATATCAAAAAGTTCATTTTCAACCCGCCTTTGCTGCTGCCTAGTAAACTGCAACCCAAGGGCACAAATGGCTGGCAGAGCCGCTGAAGGCAGGTTGGACCTTTGTGGACTCGAAGGTTTTGGGGATGCATATATAATGTACATTTAATTTGTTGTACATTGCCCAGAGTTGCCATTTACTAGATGGATGGCTGAATGTATGAATGAATGAATGAATTGGTCTCTAGACCAGTGATTCCCAACCTTGGGTAACCTAGATGTTCTTGGATGGCAATTCCCAGAAACTGGCCAGCGCAGCGGGTGTAAAAGCTTCTAGGAATCGCAGCCCAAGAGCACCTCAGTTACCCAAGGTTGGGAGCTACTGCTCTGTTGCCATTTACTAGATGGATGGCTGAATGTATGAATGAATGAATGAATTGGTCTCTAGACCAGTGATTCCCAACCTTGGGTAACCTAGATGTTCTTGGATGGCAATTCCCAGAAACTGGCCAGCGCAGCGGGTGTAAAAGCTTCTAGGAATCGCAGCCCAAGAGCACCTCAGTTACCCAAGGTTGGGAGCTACTGCTCTGTGGCAACCCTTGGCCAGTGCAGCGGGTGTAAAAGCTTCTAGGAATTGCAGCCCAAGAGCACCTGGGTTACCCAAGGTTGGGAGCTACTGCTCTGTGGCAACCCTTCTCAATGGAGACCAGATAGCCCCCCCCCCGGGAGGTCTGGCACATTTGAAGGGGGGGGCACAGGCTGAAAAGTGTGAGAAGTTTCTGTGTTGTATCCTTATTTGACAGGGAGAACTGGAAACTGAGAAGAGCTCATAAAAGGCCCAAGGCTTGAGAATGACTGCTCTAGGTGGCAACCCTTCTCAATGGAGACCAGATAGCCCCCCCCCCGGGAGGTCTGGCACATTTGAAGGGGGGGGCACAGGCTGAAAAGTGTGAGAAGTTTCTGTGTTGTATCCTTATTTGACAGAATTGGAAACTAAGAGCCCATAAAAGGCCCAAGGCTTGAGAATGACTGCTCTAGGATACAAAAGCTGAACAGAAAAGGAAGTCATGCTTTTCCAACGTCTGCCACAAACAATCCCATGTCAGTTGACCTATGTAAGGACCCAACAGATTTCTTGGTTGTTTTTACTTTCCACTTTTTCCTAAACCCTGAGAATTTAGGTTAATATGTTTATTGCTTTAACAGATCTAGAATTACAAGGGAAAGCAAACTGCGGTATTATGAACTTCAGCTGTCAGCAGACACAAGGTCTAGAATTACAAGGGAAAGCAAACTGCAGCATTGGTTATGAACTTCAGCTGTCAGCAGACACAAGATAAAATTTAATGTACAGAACTGTTGCAGCAGTTACTTTTTGGGACAATGATTCCTGAAATCCCCCAGCAGCACAATCCCAATAGATAAAATCATGCAGGATTGTTTCCCTTTTAGATGGAGGAGAGTCTCCCAGGGATATAACTTTCCCACTTCTTTTCTTTATATTCAGGAGGGTGGCCTTCTTCCTTCACATACAGACCTGTGGCCTACCTGGAAACTGAAGCAGCTCTTTCCAGTATCAGAGCCTGGAAGTGTTATTGTTTGTTTTGTCTTTGAATTTGGTTTTGTTTTTGTATGTGTGTGTTTTTGTTTGGGTTTTTTTTGGGGGGGGGTACTACAGTACCCAGCCAATGTCAACACTGACCAGTCTGGCTAGGGCATTCTAGCAGCCAAGTCGAAAACAGCAACCTTTCTGAGCTATGAGACACCTCTCTCCTGACATCCACCCCTTTCCACACATCTAGGCTAACTGAGTTAAGATGATAATCAAACCTGAAATCTAGACTAGCATACTGACCACATGAGCTGAAGTCTAGACTTCACGCCCTTCCCGGATGATCTAACTCAAATTTTAGCCAGCTGGTTTTTACATTCACCAAAATGAAGACTTTTTCTATTTTTAAGATTTACAAATGTATTCCATTTGGATCACATAAACCAAAGAAGCTTTTAACAAGTAGCAAACAGAACAACTAAGTGCATGGGTTTAGTCATTTCTTAGAAGAATGCTGTTTTATTGCCATTTTTTTATTACCCTACTTAAGCCTGAGATAGAAAGCATTTTTTGAATCAAGCTCCAGTAATGTCAAAGAGACTTCATTGCAAGAACACAAGTTCAGGAAATCAGTAATTTTCTTTATACATGAGAATAAAAAATCAAGATAACCATCAGTATGAAAGGGAAAAAAATGAAAGCATACAGTACATTTACTTTTAATGATTTTTATTAAATAATGTTATGTTATGTCCAAAGTTGATTTATTTCTTGCACATTCCTGTCCAATCCATTAAGTGACCACTCTGAACATCTGGCACACTGGAGCATCATTAGTTGTACAATGCGCTGAGAAGCAGAACAACTATGACCTTAGAGGTCAGCTTCATTTTCCATGCTTCATTATTTGCACAATCAACAGCGATTGTACTTTAACATACTCCACTGTATTCTGCAATCCAGTTTTACCTTGACCTGGGAATTTGAGCCTGGTCTGCAACTTGTGGCCTCCAAAACAACTGTGTTTCTGCCAGGTTTTTGCTATCTCCCCAGGCCATGCACTTCCAGCAGAAAACAAAAAAGAGGAGATACACAACGATAAATTCACACAAGGATGGCTTTTCCTGAAAAATTTGGCGCCTCACACAACGATGTTTCCTATGGGTTCACAGAACGATGTTTCACAGAACGGGGTTTTTTTGGAACCAATTAACATCGTTGTGCGAGGCTCCACTGTATTCTGCAATCCAGTTTTACCTTGACCTGGGAATTTGAGCCTGGTCTGCAACTTGTGGCCTCCAAAACAACTGTGTTTCTGCCAGGTTTTTGCTATCTCCCCAGGCCATGCACTTCCAGCAGAAAACAAAAAAGAGGAGATTTAATAAGCCCTGGAGCCTCTTACAAATATGACCAGAGGGAAATATTAAGCTTTGTGGGTCTTGAGTAGCGTACGTCTGGTCCTAAGCCCAGAATGATATTTATGAATCACCAACCAAACTGCCAAGAGTTCAAGATAATAATGGAAGTGTTGGCACAAAAAAGCCCTACATTATGCAGTTCAATTAGTCAGAACCCGTAATTACCTAGTGAGGAATTGACGCAGAGCTTTTTGTCATAACAGCTGAACCCTTCTCTTGCTCTCCAGCCATAATTCTTGCCTTTCTCCACAATGTCAATTTCTTCAAATTTATTCTGTCCCACGTCACCGCAGAAAAGTCGTCCTTTCCCTTCCTTTGTGTTGGGGTCACCCCTGTCAAAAGAGCAGCGCCACATGTTCCTGGCTCCATAGGCATAGACTTCAGGCCGGGCTTTTGCTTCATTAATAAAAGGATTGTCGGGAGGGATGCGATAAAGAGGCCCGTGGTCATTGTTGTCCACGTTGATCCGGAGTACCTTGCCTAGCAGGGTCGACCTGTGGATGTACAAAACAAAAACAAACAAACAACAAACCAGCATTTTGTGAAAACAATACTTATATCTACAAAAGAAGCACAACCTCCTTGTGCATAATATATAAAAATGTGCTTAATGCTTTGGGGAAAAACAGATATGCAGATGGAGGATTCCTAGCTCACTTGCAGAGCATATGAAAAGAACTTTTAGCAGTACAACTCTACAGCCCATGCTACCTGGTGGACTCTGAAAGCTGTGGTCCACAAAGTACCTTAAGCAAGTTCTATTCATGGCTAGATCTTATGGGCCACAGGCTGGCTACTGGCAACCATGGCCCTCCAGATGAACTTGAACCACAGCCCTTATGATTGGACATGGCATCTAGAGATGGTGGGAGTTGCAGCCCAATAACTTTATAAGTCCTGCATGATGTCCACCTCTGCCCATGGTCCAGCATTTCAAGTTATAAAGATCAGGTAGCACGCAATCTGAAAGATCCTCTGCCTAGGACCCTGGAAGGCCCCTCTGAGTAACAATGATCAACCCTGGGCTTGAGCAAGAGCATTTTTAAGGTAGGATCACACTGCGTCCTCTGTTGCCTCAACAAGCTGAATGATTCTGGAAAATGTTGCTATTTGCCCCAACCCCACTACATAGGACAGGTGAAATATATGAATCAATGAATGTCACATGTGTGTTATCAGAGGAAACTAAATACAGGCGAAGCCTTTACATTTTTGCAAAGAACAGTGAGCACAGAAGGCACACTTCCTCATAAGGATCCATCAGTCAAAGATAATCAATAGAATCGTCATGACTGGGAAAAGGGAACTGCGTGTTTTGGTCAGCGTACTGACTAACGTCATCACTGGGCTTTCGAACAAGCCTGCCAGACCACAGTCTGTTTATTCTGAACCTTCGTGAATCAGAACTTGGAGCAAAGCCACCTTATTTCAAGAGCAGCTTTAAACAGCTTTCCCAAACCCTTCTTTCTGCAGTTACTCACATGACAGATTTACACTGATGGCTTAGATTTACAAACTTCACAGACTGTTGACAGGAGGAAGGACCAAGTTACTGGCAAAGCAAGCTCCATGCTGAACATTGGCAAATACAATATAACTAGACTTTCTATGTTAAAAAAGGCTAGATACCCCCAAGCAAGAGAGACAGATCTGCGAACCCTCGGGTTGGATGGCCATTTCTTGGCTGCACCTTTAGCAGGCTATGTATTACGCTTCCCACTCTTTAATAAAAGCATAAACCTTTTGACCTGTGATAATGTACAATCCACAAGCAAAATCTATTAAGACCATGTAGACTGAATTTTACATTAGAAGAAAATACCAAATTCATTTCAACAGGATTAATGTGCGAAATGCAATCAAAATCTAACATAATGCTTACGATGCTTGTTTTTTAACCTGCAATTGCCATATGTTGTGTGATGGGTGTTCATGCATTCATACCCTGGGTGTGGTGCAGGTGAGTTACAAAACAGCTTGGAAAAGTTGCTTATTTGGATAATTATATCCAGAATCCCCCGGTCATGGTATTTCCCATTGAAATGAAATGGGCAAGTTTAATTAACTTAGTCTGGATCAAGGTCTTTGCCTTTAATTTACTGTATATGTCAAGACACATCCTGATCATAAAGCATCTCATCCTATCCCGATAAAAACAGCCATTAATACCAAACCTAATTTTACATCTTTGTAACAGCAGCTAAGAAAGCATACATCATCTGGCTGCCCGGTCCCCACAAAATAATATTAATGTAAGATTTCTACTTGTTTTGAGCATTTCCAAACGCTCCGAAAGGATCTCCAGCCATCCCCCCATCTCCAGTGAAGATATAGAGATAACCATCATCACCAAACAGCAGTTCTCCTCCATTGTGATTGGAAGCTGGTTCTTCTATCTCCAAAATTATCCTGAGGGCAAAGAAAAAAGAATTCTGGTAACATATGAGCAGACAAAGGAATTGCCAAAAAAAAAGTGGTGGGGAGTGGAACATCAGGAGTAAAAAAGGGGGGAAAACCCAAGTCTAAAATGATTTCTGAAACTTGGTATTAAATGTGAACTAACCAAACGTTCTAACTAAATATATGGATAGAACACCCAAGCCTTCTCTTCATGTTGGGACCAATGAATACAGTGGTGTTGGCCTCTTAACACTGAAAACATAGTCCACCGTTCCTTTCAGATGCTTTTGAAACAAGATGATTTTTTAAAATGTTGTTTTATTTTCCTTCATTGAAGTATCAGTGTTACATTGACCTGGAATTTGATTGCTCAACAGTACAGCTCAACTTATTTGTGAAATACATCCACTTAGTTTCCAAGAAGAGATTTGTGAAATTGTGACATCAAATTTCTTTTATCCATGTGTGTTCCAAAGCAATATTTTCGTCCATCCAAGCACAAAGCAAAGCTGCAACCATTTCAGATATAGAACCCACCTTGATCCTAAATATGCAATCCCCATATCTGTGCCACAAAGTATGTTCCAATGGCACTTAATTCCAAGTGGATATATATATACAATTGCATTTATGAGATCCTTTTGGGATATCAATGCATTCTGCATTCATAACTGGTGAGGATGCTCAGTCCATATAGGGCTCTTTGGAAGCACCCGATTCCCCCCCCTCAAGTTTTTTTCGTTTACTTTTTAAAAAAATTCTACAATCCGTGTTGATCCCCTAAAATTACTGAAATCTCCCTGAAAATTCCCTCCTTATTAGGCTGCTTTGGCTTCAGTCTTATGCTTGAATTCACCACCAGAAGATGTGAAATTAGTGCTTCTGGTTGTGATTATATACGGAGAGTACTCTGAAGTGCTAAATGTTAAGCATAAAGTATTACTCAATATTAATTGTGTTCAATGCTTGTCTACCCTAAATCTATTTCAGCAACAAAATTTCAGCAATATTTTTTAGCCGCACCATTGCCAGTGGCTTCTGAAGTTAAAACTGTCTTAGAAATAGACAAATGTACCAGAAATGGTGAACAGTGTAGGGATGTGAAGAATAGTCAAAACATTTCTTGTTTTCTGATTTTCCAAGTTTTTCTTGAAAGATAGTTCTTGCTGAGATTTCACTCAGCGAATACATGTCACTCCACACCTAGAATATTTCTTGGCTTCCCTGTCTTGGTTTTTTGTTGTTGTTTGTTTACCTGTTCTTATGTGCAGGAAGCTGCCTAATTCTGTGTATCTCAACACCCTTTCCAGGGGATCTCGGGCAGGAAAGGTGGCATTTTGCACAGAAATTCTAATAACTGAACAGATTGGTGCTTGTTTCAGAAAAAAATGACCAAAAAACACCCAAGAAATCTCATAAGATTTCTTTTTTAAAAAGAGGAGGAGCAAAGAGAGATTCCCCCCCACATACACACACACTCAGTTTTTCACAGAGAGTGAGAAGCTGAGAGATTCACATCCCTAGGACACTGTACTTATTGGGAACTTGCCTTATTCCCAGTCAATGCTGCTAGACGGTTGGGTAGGATCAGATGAAGGCACAGCATGTCACGTGGTCCAACTTTACAATTCCGTGTTCAGAGAAAATGAACTACAGAGAGGCATGAATTTAAAAATGTATTGCAAAAACCATCAAAAATCACTAATTCGTCAATTTGTATTCATCTGAAGCAATGCCCCCTAACAAATACAAATCAATGTATTTTCAGCAATTTTTTATATGTTGAAGACACCAAAATTGCAGAGACGCTTCCCATGACTCTCCTCTGCTATCTTTCCAAGTTTGGTAAAGATTGGGTTTTCCAGATGCTAAAGGGCACTTTCCTGGAGGGACTTACATTTTGTGTGTATAGCTCATATGTCAAAACCCAATATTCGCCAAACTTGGAGGGATTATAGAGGAGTCAGAGGAAGCTTTCTTGTGATTTTGGTGTTTCTAGGTGCCTGGGGGCTGTTTTATATGGTTTAAAAGGCAAAACAAATCAACTAACTGACTTGTAACTGAATTGTAAATTTGTTATTTTTAATCAACCATGACAAATCGCAAATTGAAATGTATCACCATTTTTCCAATTCATGCTCATCTCTAAAATAAACCTAGTAAATTACTACCAGGTCTTTTGTACGTCTAATAACTCTTAATTGCCTGTTCAAGATTAAACCACACAAAACTATTTTGCATTAAAGCAGAGATAGCTTGCAACAATATGCTTTCCTAGGAAAATCCATTTCTTCCTTCCTAAGTGCAAACAGTCCGTGCTACTCAGACAATCTCAGGGCTTTGATTCTGTGACTTTGCCATCCCACTGTTTTTAAGTACATATCTAAAAGACTGTCAGAAGATGGAAAAAGCTTTGTTTTCTGCTGCCCCAGAGGACCTAAACCGATTTGGATTTGAATTGCAATAAACATTGGAAAGATCTTCTTGATGGTAAGAGATGTTCTGCAATGAAAAAGACTCCTTTGGAAGATGATAGGCCCTCAGAAAGAGGCTCATGTTGGTTCTGTCAAGGATGCTCTAATAATAATCAATAAACTCCCAACCTTTGGCTCCACAATTAGATACCTAAACCTCTAGCTATGGATCTTCTGCATTATCAGGATACTGGACTAGATAATTGTTCGGCATCTATTGCAACTCTATAGTCTATGCTTCTTATTTTCAAAGCCAGTCTTGTTACAACTAACTCAATGCAGGAATTCACTCTGGCTTTTACCAAACATATACAAATCTGAGAAATCAGCACAACACTAGTTCCACTCCATCCTATAAAATGAAGCCAGGCTTTTTACCCACTCCGAAGAACAACTTTCTTGCTTCCATCTCCCCTACCCATCCTCCTTTCCCCCTTTCCTCTTTGTTTGCTTAGCCCCGAGTCTAAAACATTTTTCTAGAAATTCAGCACCCTATGTAGCTCTAACATAATTACTCCATTACTGTACCGAGAGAAAATTCCCAAGCCATTCAGTGGCTAACCTTTTGTCTCTTAGAATTTTTTTAAAGAATCAATATTAAGACTCTTTTGTTTGTAGAAACATATTTGTTTCAGAATATGTTTACTCTGATGAAAAGTATACTGACCTTGCCTACTACATGTAACACAAACCATTTTCTGAGGTATCTGCCAACTAATAATCTAGTTCACTTTAAACCGCATCTTGATTTGGGGATTAACTAAACTTAATTTATGTAGTTCTTTAGCTTCCCTGAATGCTGTTTGTCACAATGACCTCCCAAGTCAAGAGCCAAATGTCTGGAGACTCTCAAAGTAGAACTAAAACAAAACAAACCAGCCAGCAGAGCATCCACTATATCTCAGGCATCTTGTCAGACAGTTCAATGGAAAATAAAAGGAAGGCCGCTTGAAGTTATTCCTTTCTACAAATCATGGGTGGAGGAAGTCTAGTCACAGGATAAAGAACCTTTATCACCCATAACCCCTTATCATCGCTCATGCTTTGAGTGGCTGGTGACAGCTGAAACCCAATATACCTGGAGAAATAAAGAGTCCTGTTGGAGGATAGGGGAATTTTATCCATGGCTTATATTTACCCACACCTTGCCTCTTTGAGCTTGCCATATCAATATTTTGGAAATCATATGGCACGCACCAAGTTTCTCCTCCATGCCTCATTCCATGTTGTTCAGGAATCAGAACAACTTTTCAAGGGTATACATGACTGTAAGGAGAAGCAGAGAAAAATTTCCCACCAAGTTTCTCCTCCACAATCCCCATGCCTCATTCCATGTTGTTCGGGAATCAGAACAACTTTTCAAGGGTACACGTGACTGTAAGGAGAAGCAGAGAAAAATTTCCACCTCCTAACTTTATTAAGAGCATAATTGCATGGGCCATTTGAATTGTTTCAATTTCCCACTTCATTTATACTGATATTTGATGAGAAGAGAAGACTCCCTGGAAAAGTCCCTGATGTTGGGAAAGTGTGAGAGCAAGATGAGAAGGGGACGACAGAGGATGAGATGGTTGGATAGTGTCATCAAAGCGAACAACATGAATTTGACCCAACTCCAGGAGGCAGTGGAAGACAGGAGGACCTGGCGTGCTCGGGTCCATGGGGTCACGAAGAGTCGGACTCGACTAAACAACAACAACAAAAGTCATATGGTACTTAAATTGCTGACATATTCACACAGCGGTCTTTTCTTTCAATGCATTTCTTGAATTTTGAACAGGTTTTGTAGGCTACATGTGCCTACCCAATGGAATGAACTCATTTTTTGTAGTTTTTGGAGCACACTACTCTATATCGCTAAAGCAGCATCTAAATTCTTGTGAACAACTTTAGAAGGCAGTATCAGAAAATGTTTCATAATGCAAGGTTTCCCTTGGCAGTCCTTTGGTTTTAGGGTACTTTGTTTATCAAAGGACACTAAGTGGGGTATTTCTCCATGTTGACAAGGGAAGGGATGAGCAGAGGTGAATGTTACAATAAGGAAGTGATGCAGTGCCAAACTTTTGATGGAGTGAATATTGCCACACTGCTTAGCATTGAAAAAAAATTAAAAAGGGGAACAAGAACAGTGGACATGCAGTGTCTGTGGCACCAAAAAGACAAGTGGGTGCAAATTAAATCGATAGCAACATTCACGCATGCTAAACCGATGTAGGCAGAATTAAGGAATAGGATCATTTTTAAAAGCCCATGCTGGTCCCTCTAATTTTGGGCCCGACCATGCAGGGGCCTCACTCCATGCCCTTGGGCAGGACTCCAGCCATAACCAAAACTAAACAGGCTGGAACACCGGCTGTCAGCGCACAGCCTCAAGGGAGCTCTGTGTGAACAAGCCTGCATGCACTTTAGAGAGAAGGTTGCTGGTAAGGTTAAAAAAAAAAGATCAGTTGCCCAAATCAAACTATTTTACCTGTGCATCATGTGAATGGAAATTTATAAAACTAAGTAACAGCAAAACTAATAGAACAGCAATTCTTATGGTCAATGTAATAACGACCTACCTTAAATTACATTAAAACTGTTCTATTCTATATGTCATTCTATTTGTCATGTAGTTAGCAGAAGATGAGATCACTTATATACCTGTATTACTATTTGTCTATGTTACAACAGTTCCTTCCAAGGCAGAAATGTGTTTGATTTAGCAGAAGAGATCTCCTCCTTTTTCAGCCTATCTGAGAACCTTGGGACTGGATGCTTTTATGGAGGCTAGGAATTTCAGCTGATCTGCTCTTGTCTACTGGTATAAAGAAGCGTCTTTTCTGACTTGTGTTAATGGCCTCTGCAAATTTCCTCCTTTTTCCTCCATAGAAAAGTAGTGAAGCACAGAGTAAATCCTAGTAACATTACAATCTTGAGAATTTCAACTTGAGATGGGAATGAACCTTGGTTCGGAGGTTCATGCCAGTTTTGGCTGTCCTGCCCCCTTGTCTGAGTGGGCCACTGGCCAAGGAGGCGGGGCAAGGTAGCCCATGCTCCTGCCAGAGACTGGTCAAACAGCCAAAGAGGAGGAGGACGAGGAGTGGATTTTGAGCTGGCTGCCTAGTAGAGGATCCAGTTGGGGAGGAAGAGGAAGAGAACACACAGCATCTGTGCTGCTGCGTGTACAAACTGGCACAAAACTCTGAAGTGAGGTTCATGCTCATCTCTAATTTCAGCCACCAAGTAACACTTGTTTGGTGTTACAAGTTTCAAGAGAGTAAGATGTGTATTTCGGCTTACCTTACTTGTACAAGCTCATTTATCTGTTTTTACTTAAGAACAAAGGTCTAGTGCTACTTAGGGCAGTGCAGAATTGTCAACTGTTGGCTGAATCAGGGCCCTTAGAAACCTAGGGGGAAGTGACACTCTATGACAGACAATAACGCAGCAGTGGATGCAGTGTTGCTTCCTGTTCTTCTATCCTAAACAACTGGCAGAATCCTATGCTACTTTTAGTAATTTCTCAGAACGACAGCTCTTTTCCCCAAGATGATGTTAATTTTTCTGCACTGTGACTACCAAGTAGCAACAACAGCAACTGTATTGTCATTTTGCTTCCTCTACATCCTCTCTCTCATGTTATTCCAGATGGTTGCAGTTACCAACAGAAATAAAAAACAAAAAAGGCCATAAGTTTGGGAAATAATTCTACAACGTGGTCTTTTATTTCTAGAGAACTATGAATGGCAAAATCTTGGAATGTTTCTCAGCAAAATATCTTCAGAGGGATTTTGTCTCAAAACTTGTCATTCTTCAGAATTTAGAGCTTCCAAAACTATTACATTTTTCAGTGGCTATTATAAACACATTTTCATCTATTAATAAAACAATAATTGTGTGCTGTCAAGTCATTTCTGACTTATGGTGACCCTCTTCGGGGTTTTCCAAGTAGAAAATACTCAGAAGTGCTTTACCCTTCCCTTATTCTGGGGGATGCCTCAGGACTCTGCAGCTTGCCCAAGGCTACACAGGCTGGCTGTTCTGCTGAGATGCAGTGGGGAACTACTGACTTAACTAAAGGTGATTTTTATAAATATCAATAATTGCTTATTAGTACTGATATTTTAATGCCTCTTCCAGTGTTAAGCTTTCGGATGGGTATAAGGAGAGCAGTGTTGTATGCAGCTCCAGGAAAATATGAATCTCGTGCCCTGCCGTAACATGTCTTGCAATTTCTCCCAAAGTTTTATCCTTCCAATTTTCTGCCTCTTTTTCAGCCTTAGAATCTCTTTTAGTTACAGTTTTGAGCTTTCTCTAACAGTGAAAGGCAGCTGATGGCTGGTGCTTCATTCATTTTTAATTTCTATTATACATAATCACTCTGCAACTTCCCTACCTACTTCTTTGAAAAAAAAAGGGCTTTGGAAAGAGTTATCTCTCAATAACACTATGAGTGAGAAAGATCTTGGAATTGCTGCAGATTATAAATTGAATATCTGCCAACAGTTATTCTTTGATTTGATAGCATCTTCTCTTGAGCCTTAACTAAAGTGTAGGAAATGGGAAGGAGATTCTGTGTCCCACAGAACTGATTATACAATGAAGGACAAAATACACGCCACATAAACACGCTTGCACACATAGACACATGGACGTGCATGCATGTACCCACATGCGCACAGATTTCCTTGGCCACCTTTTGAGTAACGCAAGAATCCTAAACCTCACCCATGAGGATTTCTCTAAAATTTCACCTCTTTTGAAATTCTTTGTAAAAGGAATTTATTATTCTGTCAAATTAATTGAGAATGGCCAAAATTCTATCTAGAAAAATGTCCAGCATAGAACTATTTCAAGCATGATTAGGATGCTGGCTCTTTCTGTGACATTCAGGGTGGCTTGGTTCATTTGTGCCCCAAAGACCAGTTTTCTATCTACAACGAAAGTATAAAAATAAGCAAACATCAGAATTAACTTCCATTAGTAACTTTTTTTTGACTTCCAACATCTTAAATTAATGTGACAGATAAAGGTGCATACAATACCTTTCGGAACCATGGTCCACAGAATTCATGTCACCAGGAGAAATTCTGAACTCACTGATTCGGATTCTCTCTTCATAATGAACTTCAACTGAATAGTAGACATACACTTTACCATTAAATTTGAATTTAGGATGGAAGACAATACCTAGAAAACCTCTTTCATCTCCTTCCCAAGGTGAAGTAAGTACAGCTTCACTGATGTTCAGAAAAGGTTTTTCAAGCCGTGAGCGATCTGGAAGATATGTCCAGACTAAGCCAACTTGTTCAGCAATGAAGAATCTGTGGGTTCCATCATTCGCATGTACCATAGCAACTGGATTCCTAAGCCCATTGGCGACCTCCATTAAGCACAACTGCAAGCATCCTTCCGAATCAGCAGTCACCAAGCCAAGGTTTTGATTAAGATGCTCATTGGCTAGAAGGTGAGGGAAACAGTAGTCTGTATCGTCCAAGGACAAGTAACGGCAGAACTTTGCCAAGTTGTTTTCCATGGACAGTAACTCTTCATCAGAAGTGAGGTAGCGGAACATGGACCTGCACTTTTCCCATACTTGTGCACAGTAATCTCGACAAAGTCCTGGGAGAGTTCTCTCTGGAGTAGAAGGGTCTTCAGCATCATACAGGTGAGCAGCATAAGGGGAGCATTCCTACAGGAAAAGAGGAAGCCTGCATCAGTTGTTGCTGTATAAAAGCAAAGTGAAGTGTGTCGCTTATATTCTGCCCCATAAAAGCACCATTTTTCAAAAATCTGAAAATCTGCTTTATCAACTACAAACCAAACTAGGCATACCAATGGAAGCAACATTGACAAAACAGAACAGTTCTAGACTAGATGCACTATGTAGGCCAACTGAGTATAAGGAGTGAACTTTATGCTTTCATTTTCCGCGCATCATGTTTTGATCAGAAGCGAAACCATTATTTTAATATGTTACAAAAGATTTAAAACAATTTACAGTTGCTATTCCATACAGCCTATGCTTGGGTTTATAACCATTTATTGTGTTGCATGTGAAAAAAACCAAGACCAAGGACCAATGTTCCCTCTAAACCACATGGATGCGCAGTGCTGCATCAGGGCCTCACAGCTGAGCCAATGTTGCTGCCCATTTGCTTCTGATCGCAGACGGAATGCTGCAGTCCAGTCGTGTCCAACTCTAGGGTGCAGTGCTCCCCTCCGTTTCCAAGCCATAGAGCGAGTGTTTTGTCCAAAAACAGTTTCCGTGGTCACGTAGCCAGCATGACTAGACACGGAACGCCAATACCTTCCCACCGAGGTGGTACCTATTTTATCTACTTGCCTTTACATGTTTTTGAACTGCTAGGTTGGCAGGAGCTGGGACAAGCGATGGAAGCTCACTCCGTCACGTGGATTTGATCTTACGACTGCTGGTCTTCTGACCCTGCAGCACACAAAGGCTTCTGCGGTTTAACCCGCAGCGCCACCACGTCCCTTTAAGATTACTGATACTAGTGTGTAATTACCCACATGCAAACATTAGGGGCTACTGTAATCTCATGCACAGAATGGCTGACAACGCACATCGTATTATAGTCCTGCATGCAAGCACACATACAGAATAGAAAAAGAGATGCAGATATAAAGTTATTTAGTTTTTTCCACTGCACTTTTCGCAACCGCAGCTGAGAGCTGGTGTTAACAGTGCAGCAGAACATAAGGATTTGAGCCAAGTGTTTAGTCATAAAGAGACAAAACAGATGTTACAAACACATGTGGGGAAGAGCACACTCAGTAATTGCTTTGTCATATATGAAGCTTCAGTGGGATTTTCTGCACACCATCCAGTCAGTCTGTATTTTGTTGAGATTGGTTTCGGTACAGGGTTGTTTGTGTTTTAAGGCAAGAGAACTTCATTTTGTCCTGTCAGACATAATTTAGGGAACATTATAGCCTTATACACAGTTCCAGTTCAAATGACAGTGTTTGCCGGAAGTCGTTAAATTAAATACCGATTCTCACAAAATCTATAATTCTTAGCTCCAATACCCAGAACTGTGACTAGTAACTCTAAATTTTCTCAATTATTCAGATTTGGGATTTAATTAAAATTTAGGTGTACACAGAAACATTATTGTTCTTTCCTCAAGCCAAAATCACAAGAGAAATAAGAAGAGGCAAAAAGTATAAAAATGATTCCTCCACCAACACTTAAATATCTGGAGCATAGCAGTTAAGACAAAACAGCAGCGACCAAGGGTCTTAGAGTATAGTTTTACAGTACTAGTCTTTGTGGACTATAGCTCACCTCCTGTTATCATGCCCTCTCATCTGCGCTGCAGAATGTGAGTATGAGCTCAGCTTAGGCCACATATGGTTTAGAAGGATCAGATGTGCTAAACTCAAACATTATGTCGTAATAAAAAAAGAGAGGCCATAAAGATATGTTCTGAGAAGAAAGCAGAAGGGGTGGGGGTGGGGGAGCCAAGCAACTGAAAAGCAGTGTAGATAAAATACACTGCAAATGCTTTAAGATTCTCAAAAGCAGTTTGTTACACAAAAAGAGGTGTGATCACACATACAACTCATATTTTTCATCAAGAAAATAAAAAATTCTGAAGGCTGTTGTGAGGCCGGAGGTGAGAGCAAAGCCCCTGTCACTGGAGTGCCATCCCTCCTGCCTACTGCCGACACAGAACAACAGACTCTGCCCATACCCCCGCCCAGGAAGATAAGGCCACCAGGAGCAGGTAGAGGAGAGTTTGAAGGGACTGACCGTTAAAGAACCCGGGACAATTTTGGCGGGAACTGAACGAAAACCATGGGTAAAAGTAGAAGCGGGGCTGGCAGATATAAAGAGTGGCGAGGAGAAGTTACCGCCTGGCTGGGAATGGCGAAAACCACGGGTAGATGTAGAAGCGGGCTGGCCGATATAAAGAGTGGTGAGGAGAAGTTACCGCCTGGCTGGGAATGGATTTGGTTAGAGGATCCATGGAAGGGGAAGGTAGAAAAACTCTGGATACCAAAAGAAGAGGCTGACGCCCGGAGGAGAAGGGAAGCTACTCCCAAACCCTCTTAATGGGGAGAGAGGGAAATGAAAGAGTGGAGAAGGAAATTGAAAGAGGAAAAGGAGAAAGTGGAGAGAGAAAGAAGAGAGAGAACAGAATGGTGAGGGGGATCCAGATGAGAGGACACCCCGGGGACCACAGCAGACCACCCCCGCCTCCATAGAATTGGCCTGGCTGGACAACAGAGTTGAAGACACCATCCCCTTACTGGAGGGGGTAGACTGGACAGATATTGAACCATGGGGTCAGCACGGACTGGCCAGGGCCGTGGGATGTTCAAGGGGGGAACCCCTTTAAAGTTGAAGAATGGAAACCCCTAGCCGACCCGTTGTTGGATGGGGAGAAGGGTTGGAATATGTTTGCAGACACTGGTTTCTTGTTAAGCAATGCAATAAATGTTACACCAATTTTTTGGAGCCAAACAAGAGTCAGAAAATGAACCCTCAAAGCTGTATATATTATTATGTTTATTTACTCCCAACATTCAGTCTTTCACAATTTCCTAATTATATAGACTGATGAAATCCTGTTCTCTGAGTGCTGGAAATCATACCAAAAATTCACAAGAAACCTTGTGGATGTTTCACCAGGTAGGAGAGCTGGTTGCCCTCCAGATGTCCTTGAACTACATGTCTCATAATCCCATAATTGCCCAGGGTGACAAGCTGCAACATACAAATCTCCAAGGTATTTTGAAGCCTATTTTCACAGAAAAGAGATATTTTAAAAATAAACTATTTTTAGATTGTCAAAATACTGACATTTGCATGTATTAGAAATAAAACAGCTTCTTCAAATATTTACAACAGCAGCAACCTAATCCAGCATTGGATAGTAAATAACAAATGAATTCAGGGCTTCCTGCAGAAAGAATCAACTGAAAAATCACATCTGTTTTATTCAGCGTAATTTGATGTTCTTAAGTCTTATTGTTGGCTGAACCTACACATGCAGCTGGGCCAGCTGAGGACAAGAACACATAAAATGTAAAGTATCTTAGGAAAGAGAAGAAAAATTCTCAAAACACAGCATTTAAGAGAATGGTTTCAAAGTCTGTATGGGCACTTAGTCAAGAGACCCACACTGTGATTAGAACTGGAAAAAGTGATTCAAGGACTTAGTTTGATTAGCCAGGATGATTCATATAAGTAAATGGCTATAATTCTGTTCTGAACCTGTCCCAAGCCTACAAGAATAGAAAATAAATAAAAATAAATAAAAAAGCAAGAAGTCTCTCTCTCTCTCTCTCTCTCTCTGTGTGTGTGTGTGTGTGTAGAAGTGTGCAGTACTTCCTTACCCTGAATGCAGTATTTCCTTACCCTGAATAGTTGTCTGATTACTCAACACTGAACACCTTGTAACTGAATGTATATAGTCTCCCTAGAAAAAGATCAGTGAGCAAATCTGGTGGGCTTTTATTAGCAGTCAAGAGCAGTAGCTCAAGTTGTCTTGGCTAACTGGCAAGGTGCTGGAGGTGTGCTGGACACATGACGATACATGTAAACAAGCACCTAATGAGTACTCACCCATTAGTAGCTTTTGCAACTCATCTTGCTTACATGTAGATACGCAATAGGGTTCTGCCCACTGACATAATATAAAAGCTGTCTGTACTAAAAAGGTCATTGTACAGAATCCAAAAACCAATGTATTACAAAATATTAAAAACAACCAAAATCATTCCTCTAGTTGGGCACTGTAAAACTGGCGATCAAGAGAGAAAAAGTTCAAAACTCATCCTGACTAGAGATAGGGATATTCGTATCTGTAAAGGAATACAAATATTCCCATCCCAGGTGCACCTAATGCAGGTCCAACCCTTGGAACTGGCTAATCCGCTCACATGCTACTGTGCCACCAGCCTCCCGCTCTTCTTGCAAGTTGCGGAAGTGGCTTTGTTGTCTCCTGGCACAGCTGGCCATTCTAGGCAGGGGGCACGAGGACAAGTCTCCCTGCACGGCTGTTGAGTGGCCAGCCGAGCCAGGAGATGATGGAGCTACTTCTGCAATTGGTGAGAAGAGCGTGGGAGTTGATGTGGGAGCACATGAGGGGACGGGACAGTTCCAACGGACGGGCCGCATTACGTGTACCTGGGATGAGGATATTCGTATTCATTGACAAATATGAATATCCCCATCTCTAATCCTGACCTGATGTTGCAGTGTCAGGATCTCAGTAACAGCCCTAGATGGAGAATCTTAACTTGTTGCATCAGCTTGAGGTATCAGACTGTTTTTCTGCATCACTAAATACAAAGAGTTGCCTATGTCTATTTTGTTGTCCATCATCTTGCGCCAAAGAACATCACTCCTGTTTCAGGGGCAAACAAAGTAATGGCAATTCCAATAACAGAAGACATGGTATTTGTATTCCTTGTGTCTGAAGAACTGGATTTTGATCCACAAAAAGCTAACAGCAAAATAAATCTGGTATAGCCTTTGATGCGACATTTTGTTTACTTTCTCTCTCCCATGCATTTTTTTCTTCCCAACATGCTCAGACAGACTGACAGGACTACCTCTTTGGAAATTATCACATCAAGATAGCTGGGTATTGTATACCTTTGGTCTAGATAGGCGGGATAGAAACCCAATAAATAAATAAAATAAATATTCAGTTG